TTCAAGACAGCTGTAGGGCTACACTCTGAAGACTCTGTTCTAAGCCTTGGAGTTCAGGCAGGGCTGGGAGGTGGAAGGGGCATTTTGGGGTAAAAACTGCAGCTCACAATGTGAAGATTTTAGGATACAAGTGGGGCTGATGTAGCTTAGCCAGAGCTTCAGAACAGTTTGCTAGAAGCTTCTGCAGCCCAGGAGTGAAAGGTCACAAAGGTGGCTTAATACCACCTTAGCTTCCCACTGTCTGAAATATAAGTTTTGAATTCTGCCTTCTAGAAATATAGGACAAAATTGTACTGATCCAGTTAAGTTCTCAAATGCTTTCCTTGATTTTTCTTAGTTCTCAAGTCTCTCATTTGATGGGGGCTTCTCCCCTCTCCCACTTTTTCATTTTCACAGGGATTCCTGCATCTCTTCTTTTCTTCCACTGAATTATTTTCTCGTATTGGTTTGTCTACTCATATGACTTCAGCTCTCTTATTTATTCTGGCTGCTCTGAAGAGTACCTCTCTACATCTGACCTCTCTCTCTCTCTCCATTCAGTTCTATATATCAGCCTGTTTGTGTGACATCTCCTCCACAATACCTCTAGCTTTATTCTGTCCAGACAACAAAAACCTCATCCAATTCTTGTATAATACTCTGTATTGTACATCTTAGAAGAATGGCATTGGCTGAGGGCTAGAGTGGTTGTAGGATATCTTTGTACCCTTTCTGTTATGGGTTGCTCCAGGGAATGGCCACTGGTATAATTTAGGCAACCCCTCACCAGCTGCCTATGGTCTCCACTGGGATTTGTACAGAGGTCCTCAGAAGACAGCCTATGACAGTCATTCTCAACTCATGCACATAGGGAATGGTCCCCCAGCCAGATCTTGGGCTTGTAGAGCCCCTTTGTGCTGCTCTACCCAGTGTATAGGGGGCAAGAGATTCTCAACATTTATCTCTCACTCTCATTATTGCACCATCCTCCGCATCCTATATAGTCCTAAACACTCAAGTTGCTTCTCGCTGTTGCTGTACAAATCATATCCACTAACTTTCCTCAGTTTGAGTCACTCTTTGAATTCCTTCGCTACTCTAGTATATCATGCAGATACTTCTAGCCCTCTATGTTCTAACTGACTTAGGATTTTAAAGTGCTGCTCATCACAATATTATCTGATCACCTTCCATGTAATACTGACAGTAAAAGACAAGTCCTTAGGGATTTTCTAGAGTCCTTGCCTTTGTGGAGTGGCAGTTGGTAGCATTTAGCATTTGGTATATGTTATCACTAATCCTGCCATATTCTGAACTACTTTGCACTCCAGTTCCCCTCCTCCATCATTGCTTCATTAGCAGGCTTCAGCTGTTGGTCCAGAGAATTGCACATGATGCCAGATTTTCATTCCTTAAGAACATGTGTGCCAACTTCAGAACATTTCAGTAGCATATGCTCTGAAGACTTGCACATGCTTTCATTTCTGGGTTTGTGTGCCAAAACAGAAGGCCTTTGCCTACAAGACAGACTTTCTAAACAAAAATGATATTTTCCCTTTTTTGTTTAGCTAGTTTAGAAGGGATATGGCTTAATAACACTGCAATTTGAATTTACTTCAGTTGTTAATATCTTATTTAATTGTGTGGTCACTGACTGGGTTTTCGTAACTGTGAGAGGGTAGAAGTAGATGTCTGAGAATTTTTGTACATTTCAAAAGCAGGGAGCGCGGGGCCAGCAGTTGTCTGAGTGCCTAGCTTGCCCTAGGCTCCCAGAAGCGCTTCTGCTTTTAAGTCAGCTCACCCCAGCACCGGATCCTGCTCCTCACTCTCGCTGCATCTCTCTGATAGAGGCAACAGGACGGGGAGTGAGGGGGGTGCTCCTTACGATGCACTCCTGTTGTTAATGGATGAAGGGCAGATATTAATTCTTATTTTCCTATGCTTCAGTGTGGAATTTTATATTGTCAACCATGATACAGTACTGTCTACCGAAGAGATGTGACAGGGTCCTAGAGGAATGCACTAGAATAGAAGTTTAAGTTTCTTCTGAAAGGATGTACTAAAAAAAAAGTAGTGCAGAGAAAACTGTGCCAGCACCATCAGGTCTCTTAGGGCACATCTGTATTACAGCCTCTCCCCGAGTTACGGACCAAACACTTGGCCGTAACTCAATTTGTTTGCAACTCGGACCCCATTAAGTTACATAGCGACTGCGCTGTTCGTAAGCGCGGGTCATTTTTGTAACTCGGGGACTGCCTTTACGACCGCTCCGTGGGAGCTTTGGTTATAAATGCGAACAGTCTTAACTCGACTGTTCGCAACTCGGGGACTGGTTGTACTGAGAAGATCTCCATTGTGGTGGTCAATCTTCTGACGTTCTATTTAACAGGTGTAGTGGGGGCATGCTAAATCAGTGTTTCTCAACCTTTTTTTTAATAAAGTACCCCTTTTTCAAAAAATAAATACATTTATAAGTACCCCCAGTACCTAAGGTTTCAGACACACACAGTTTTTCTTTCTACCATTGCAACATATTTGTTTAAACAACTCAATCGTAGCCAGATGGGTGATAACATTTTTGGGTGTAAAAAGTACAAAAATAATAAAGTGCTATAAAACTTAAAACATAAATTCAGTTTTCTCCAAATTTCAGTTGTTTTGACATACCCTCCCAGGCTTCTCTCAAGTACCCCTACGGGTACTCGTACCACTGGTTCAGAAACACTGCTAAATCAAACGATGAGGGTGCTAGAGTAAGCCAGAGTAAGACTTATGTGCAGAGAAAAACAATTCTAGAAAAGTTGTAGCTACAGTACAGTTTCATGGCTTGAAGGCACGCACCCAGAATTGGTCAATTCAGTCCATAGTTTAGGAAAAGTTCAGATTTCTCATTGAGCTCTCATGTGATACAAGTTAGAACTCCCTGGTCTGGCATCCTCAGGACCTGACTGGTCCCAAACAAGGGAATTTACTGGATCAGGGGAGGTCCTCTGTCCCTGACACCACTGCCCCTTCCCACCACTGACTCTGCTTCCTGTTCCAGCTGGCCCCCCAGCCTCCAACCAGCTGTGGCACCAGCCCTGGCCAGGCTTTCTGGACACCTGTACCCCCTTTTGTGGGGATCCTAGCTACACCGCCAGTCCCTCCCTATTGCACAACTCTTAGCTGCACCACTGGCTTCCCTCTCACAGGGATTCTGGCTGCACCACCATCTCCGCTGCTATGGGGCTCCCGGCCATGTCACCAGCTCCCTTGCCCCCCCAGGCTCTCTGATTTGGCAACATCTGTGGTGTGGCAGGACCTGTATTTGGAAGTAATACTTTCTACCATCTTATCTTGGGAGATGTTACCCTAGCTATAAATAACTTTTCATCTCCTTCTGTCTGGGCTTTCAGCAGTGTAGTATTCCTGATCAATGAACTTCATGTTCCTGAAGGTTACCTCATAGATAAATTTCATAGGGTTGCTGAACTGTAAAAACATTCTAAGTTCTCTCTCCTATCGGTGTCTCTTCTTTACCTAAGGCGACAATTACCTTTGAATTTTGGGAGCAGATCCTGGCCTTAGAATTTGGTCAGCAGCATTACTGGGAACATATGGTAAAGGAATTCACCTTGAACAAAGTCCAGTTTAAATTTTAGTAATAAATGTTTTATCTGTATTTTTCTTGTCATCATTTCTGACTTTAATGCATTCTACTGGTATTTTAAACCCATCCAACAAATGAAAATCCAGTTTCTCTTTATGCTATACATTTTTATCAGTATTTATATATTGATAAACATAACTCTGAATAAGTAAAAATTGTACTGTACTGACAATTAAATTGGATGTATACAATATTCTGCCCTATGTAAATAAATGTACTACTCCTTCTTACTTAAACTGTAATATCATTGTGACAGGATTGTTTTTCATTATGTGTGTCCTACAGTCCCCAGAAGAATGAGGCCCTGATCCCAGAAGGGGGTCTCTACAGATTGCTTTAAGACAAATAATTAGCAATAATAATATAGTGCAACTCGTTATTCAGTTGATTTTTAAAAATGGAACTATTAGGTACATAGCTGAGAGTGGTGGAAAAGTAATTATGAATTAACAAAAATATAGAACATTTGCTTTAAAGTATTTTTTTTTCTACACTTAGAATCTTGGATTTTTAAAAAACCAAATACTGTCACAAGTTTCATAAGTTTCAGAGGGGTAGCCGAATTAATCTGTAACAGGAAAAACTTAAAAAACAACAAAAAGACTACTAGCACCTTAAAGACTAACAAATCATGTCCATGGCATCAAGTTTCATAGTGAGCTGTGAAATAATTGCGTAATTTAAAAAAAAAATCTGGTATCCTAGTCAGTGACATAAAATAGATTAGTTATTTTATTGACTCCACATGGGGCAGATCCTGCAGATGCTTACTTCTGAGAGTAGTTCCACTGATTTCAGTAAGAGGTATTTGCAAAAGAATGAGGCCCACATTAAAAAACAGTTAATTACACTTGAAGAGCTTCTTCTATTTTATCAGGAATGTATATGACATACCTTGTATATTTAGTTCAATTAAAATATCTTACAGCCAAAATTTAGCATTTAATGATGCCACCTTTCCTTTGGAAAGATGTTTTGTGTAAAATTATTCATGAATAAAATGAATGTATTTGTAAACAGGGATCCTTTCAGTCCTCACTTCAACTTGAAAAGTAATAGTCTGCATTTACTGGTTAGCTGGCTAGCATAACCCATTTGTCATTTTATGCCTCTTCAGTGGTGATGTGATGTATATCATGTTTGTTTGTTTTTAAAGAGATCGACCTTGAGTTTATAGGATCCTTTCCAGTCTGTCACTTCAAATCTAACATCTGTTAGAGTTTGCTCAAGCGTTATCCAGGTTAACATTTCTACAACTGTGCTTTACAAAATGAAGGATAAATCAGGTGTTTAAAAACTTCAATTAATACCCTGTTTTCAGATCAGATTTATACATGTTAGATTTTCTTTCTTTCTTTCTTTCTGTTCACAGCTTCCAGCAGATCTTACCAAGATGCATCTTACAGATAATCCACATCCACAGGTGACTCATGTCCCTTCCAGCCAATCTGGATGTAGCATTGCCAGTGACTCAGGAAGTAGCAGCTTGTCGGATATCTACCAGGTAAAATCGCAGAAGTTTCTTGTTTTTTGCAGAGAAGGAGCATTTGTGTTGTAACACTTTGCATTTTGCCTTTTTAGTGTTTAAAACAGTAAAGTAGTACTTCACAAGTGTCATTTGGTTATATGAAAGACTTTTTGTGCCACTTTCACTTCCATGTAATACATTTTAGCAAGTACTGCAGGTTTGCTATTGGGTGCATATCTAATTTTTCAGGACAGTGAAGAATTTTTTCTAAAACTACTACATTTTGGCCCAGGTTTGTTTAAAAAATTCTTTACTAATAGATATACACTGGCATTTTTTTTTTTAAATTTTACATTCCTATTCTATTCTATTTTACATTTCTATTTTGCATTACTGCGAAATACTATTTGTGCTAAAAAATCTGTGCTATCTTGCATTTTGCTGTGATGTTGGAAGTACCTGTGATGTTGGAAGTACCTTTCCTAGAATTGAAGAAGAGCTCTGTATGGCTGGAAAGCTTGCGCCTCTCACCAACAGAAGTTGGTCCAATAAAAGATACTGCCTCACTCACCTTGCCTCTATTAGAAGTGGTGACACAGAGCATAACAAAATTAGCAATCATGTTTTTGCTGACTTTTATAAGACTAAAATAAAATCCAGGTTGTATTAGTTATAAAATGTTTTGTTGTGAAAATGAGTGGAATTATGAAGCAGAATGGAAGTCCATACATACAAGGCCCTGCACACCTCTTAGCGTGTGACTTATATGTGACCTGAACCTGCTGCTAATATTTTTTTCTAACCTTAGAGATATTAGGAATGTCAAATCTTGTCTTTCCTGTTTTTTTTCCTTGAATTCTTTTTGGCAGGCCAGAGGAAGTGCATTGGGAACTTCAATGGCTCTTGATTGAAGATTCAGGAGTGTTTGATCTTTAGAGAAGAGATATTTTCTTCATTTCTGTGTTTTTTGTTTTTTTTTAACTTTTCGATTAATTTCCATTAAGAAAATACTCAAGAAAAGCATGTTTGAGCAGTCTGAATAAAAATAATTTTAATTTAATCATGATTCATTTGCTTGGTACTTATGATATCAATTTGCTTATTCTTCAATGATAGATAGTCTTCAGGTAGAAAATGACTGGAACTGAACTTAAAGTTTAAAAAACAAGCAAAAGAAAAAAACAGGGAAAAGTGATTGCATTTTGTGTATTTGTGGCAGGGGAGATGTTCAGTTTTTTCTTTCTCCATCTCCAATGAAGAGCACTGCCTCTCCATTCTTCCTTATTTTCCTTATTTGTATGTGACCTTTAGTGTCTTGTCTTTTCCTTCTTCAATGGGACTCAACTTCATCAGGTGAGTTTTCTTATATAAATTAAACATATTCCCCAAGAGCAAATCTTAACTGAATTTGTAATTCACGTAGAATAAATATTCTCAAAATATATTCAACCTGAATCACCAACTTCATACTAGACAAAATGAAGTTTTTCAGTAGTAGAATATAAGGGTTCTAGTATGGCTTGGTATGAGTGGAGATTGAATAAGCTCCAAGCGATAAATTGTGGATTAATCTATATAAATGTACATGTCTTAACCAATAATCACGTGTTGCTAAATGAAGCTATTTGTGCAGTGTCACAATTATGTGGTTGGGTGCACTTCTGTCCCTAAAAATGTTTCTTCTAATGTTTTCCATCCATGTGTGGATCTTAGTAGTTAAAATATTATTTGGTTGTTGAGGACACAAGATCACAGCTTGGTGTGATACTTCCCTTCTTTCCATGAATACTGTCAGCATTTCAGAGAATAAAGCTGGTTGTTAACCTATGTGGGTGTCTCATTGCCTGCTGAGTTGACATAGCTCTCGTTTTCATTTAAACTTTAAATATCTTAGCTATATAGCAGTAGTGACTGAAGCTGCGTTCTTTTCCTTTTGGTGAATTTAGGGACTAGAAAATAACAAACCTTATATGATGATAGTTTGCGGACAGATGAAACTTTGACCCAAAATATTTTTAAGTGCCTGTGAAATACATTTTATATTATTAATGTTGTTTCCTTTGTAAATTAAATGCTTTATAAGAGTAAAAAGTTCCAAAAGTGTATTATAATGTACTAATGACAACTATATGTTTTTAAGAGGATCTGAGTCTGTTTTTTAAAAAATAAATGCTAAATGGGAGAGACGCTATTCTGGAATACTCTTGTAAATTAAGGAGATTGTCTGCAAGACCATTTCTTCATTCCTCTTAGACCGTTTCCCTGGAATAGGCTAGCTTTTGTGATTTTAAAAAAGTGTCCCTTCAACTTAATTTATGTGCAATTTGGAATTGGAGGCTGTTCGTATCATTGATCTGGGGTTTGTTAATAATTAATGTTCATCCACAGTGGTAAACAAGGTGACAACTGCTGACCTTTTCATAATTGACATGTGCTTAGAATTGTTTGGCTTTTTGTTCTTTGCTCTTACAGTAGTTCTACTTAATATGAAATGAAATATTAAATCATTCATAGAATAGATTAAGTTGCTGTTTTTATTTTGCTGCTGGTTTGTGATATTGATGCATTTTATTTCCTTAAGGAGTAAATATAAGTCTGTTTAAAGTACTAAACAGTTTAGCTCTTAACAATCTTTCACATCTACAACGTAGGTCAACCCAAAGGGCAGAGCCTTTTGTAAATGCAGTTTTGTCGCCTAGTTGTTTGTACGTTTTGTATATAAATGTGTGTAATGCCCATCGTTTTATTCAGACTTTTTTTTGGAGGGGTCAGGTAAGAACCATATATAATTTCATAGGAAATTATTTGTTCACAGGCAAGGTGTAGATTAAGGCAGAATTAAAAAAAAAAGTTCACTTTTACTCTTGGGAATGACCTAGCCACACATTAAGCAGTGGGAGCTGTTGTCTGGCTTGTAGGAATGATATGTCACCCTAGAGAGCCAGAGTGACTTGCTGTGTCAGTTTCAGACTGGATCTTCATGTACTGTCATTCTGTCTGGACTGCTCAGAGGTCTGGGAAGTGATTGCTTCTTGTTTTTTTTCCCTTCCCGTTGTGAATCCCTGAAGCAGCTAGATACAATCTAGCACTTTTATTTTTTGCTTGAAAAAAGATTTTTATTGGCTGATTGTCACCAAATCAAGGGAGAAAAAGAACCAAATTCAGCACAGATGCTTAAGCTTTAGTATTGTAGCTTGAGTTTATCTAACTAGGAAGTGAGGTCCACAATCTATATTGCTCTAATTGGGTGGTGGGAGAAGAAATTCAAGCTATTTAGCTGTAGAAAGGCTGAAAATTTGTGACTAAGATACTGTGCTGCTAAGACTCTCTAAACACAGTTTGCACTTGAGTTTAATTCCAAAGCAGGGATTGTGAGCTACCTCTATGCCAGTACAGTGATGTAATGCGAAGTGGATTTAACTCTTTATGATACACTGGTCCAGGCAGCCAGTCCACAAGGGAAGCTGGTTTTTAAACTAGCTCCCTTTGCAGACCAGCTCCCGCTTGGCACCCTGCAGAGGTAGCAGCGCAGAGTGGCAAGGGGATCTTCGGGAGTGGGGCCAGAGCTCACTGGCTGCCCTTGGGGACTATATAATAGTCGAATAATTGATAAGGATTAACAAGGTTCATCGACTATTCAGTTAACCAACATTTAACATCCCTAGTTCAGGGACAGGCAAATTTTTTGGTGCGTGGGCCACTTCAGGGTATGGCAATTGTATAGAGGGCCATGAATGTTCACAAAAGGGACCAAGGGATTTGGAGGGCAAAAGGGGTCTCAGGACTTAGGCAGGATGTGTGTGTGTGTGAGAGGGAGAAAAAAAACGAACTCTGACTTGGGGGGTATGGGCTCTGGAATGGGGTTTGGGATGAAGAGTTTGGGTTGCAGGGGGATGCTTTGAACTTGGACAGAGGGGTTCAGAGTGTGAGGGGGGGAATGTGGGCTGAGGTAGGGGGTGGTTGTTGGTGGACTCTGGGGTATAGGACCAAGGGGTTCAGAAGATGCATCAGTGCTTGGTTAGAGAGGCGGGGCATGGAAGGCAGGTTCTGGGCTGGGTTTATCTCCTCAGTCAGGTTTTGGAAGCAGCAACGTGTCCCCCTTCAGGCCGGCTCCAACATGGAGGCGTAACAAGGTAGCTCAGTGTGGTGCCCCTACCCCCCATCCGCAGGCACCATCTCTACGGCTACCAGTGGCTGCAATTCCCAGCCAGTGGGAACTATGTGGGCAGGGGCAGTGCATGGAGCCATCTGGCCGCCCCAAGTGTGAGAGCTGGATTAGAGAGTGACATGCCACTGCTTCCAGGAGCTGTGTGCAGTAGAGCAAGCCCCAAACCTGCTACCTAGCAAGAGCTTGAGGGCCAGATCAAAATGGCTGGAGGGCTGGATCCGGCCCCTGGGCCACAGTTTGCTCCCTTCTGTCCTAAGCCTTTCCTAGCACTTTATCATTTTCGTTTAGTCAAAGATCATAACTGGATGAAACTAAGGATGTTAAGGACTAGTTGATTTCCCCCCTCCCCCCTTGCTGCTTCTATCAGATAGAGACAGCAAATGTGGGGGAGGGAGGAAGAAGGGTTACTTCAAAGTAGCAGTGCTGCACAGCTGAGCTGGGGTCAGCTGTGTGGCGTTGCTGCTTTGAAACCCCAAGGCAGCATTTCAAAGGGGCAGCTGACACACAGCTGATCCCCGGCTCAGCTGTGCAGCAGCCGCCCCTTTGAAATGCCACCTCGGAGTTTCAAAGGGGCAACGCCATGGAGCCTGGTGTCAGTGGGGGACTCCCAGTTCATCCTGGGCGCCGCACAGCATTTCCACGGAACCCCGGATCAGCTGGGGAATGCCCTGCTGACTCTGGGCTCCATGAAGGCACTGTGGCTTTGAAATGCACAAGAGCCCCACTGGGACTCTTGTACATTTCAAAGCAGGCATGCTCATGTGCAACCCGAAGTCAGCGGGACTTCCCACTGGCTCTGGGCTGCATGCGGAGTTTTTCATTCCTCTTCTGAAATGTACAAGAGTACCAGTGGGACTCTTGTACATTT